GAATCGATTTTTTTACTGAAAAATGTGCTAGAAGTACGCCCAAAAAAGTTATGAATCTTTAAAAAAGAAAAAGACGTGTAGGTGACGCCCCCTACGAGTAAGAGCAATAAGAACATCAGGTTCGAATTCGACACCTCAAAAACCTCCTAATTCCAAGTTTCGTTTAATTAGGTTCAGTATTTCAAAAGTTATTTGAAAAAAAAAACGAAAATAAAAATAAAACTTCAATATCCTGTATCTTGGAAATGAAGCGTTTCCGGACATTTATTTATTTGGACAATTCATATTAGAATATTGTGAGGAATCACCTCCTGAAGTTTGTCAAAGTACTTTTGAATCACCCTGTATAGACAATACAATGTACACAATTGAAATTATACAAGGAGGCATACCTTCGAGTTCAGAAGGGTTTTCCACTGATACGAATAAAAAAATTGTTCCGGTGAGACGAGTCTCTTCCAGGTTCCACAAAAAAATCTAATCTACGAATGGTCCAATCGGATCAAGACTTCCAATGGCTCCAAGAATACTAGGAACTATACTGACCATAAATTCTTCTGGAATGAGGAAAAAATATAAGTACACCTTTTTCTAAAGGCGAAAATGAATCAGAAAGATTGACCCAAAATGGCGTGTTCCTACTCAAGTGAAGTTCACTAATCGTAAAAAGAGTGAAAGGGCCACAAACAACCAAAAATCAACAAATAGTCAAATATCAACGGCCACCTTTTTCACTAGTAATGAAGCTTTTGAAAATTTCTCCTCTACGAGATTTTTTTAAACACAAATTTTTCGAAAGGTTTTTACTGAAATTGCACTTGAGGAATCCTGATAATGACAGGTCGATCGCCCTACCTTGCTACCTTCCCCACCCGGAAATATCGGGTGGGGAATCATTCCCTTGAAGCCTACTTTAAAAAAGTTCGAATATTGGAACGCAGGTGCATACCCCATGAGCAGACTTGAGCGAACCAATCACATTTCGCGTTGAAAATGCTTGATTTCCGATTATTTCCAACATTCTTCCAAATAAATTGAGAATCAACCATAACGGAGTACCCGAAAATTGGAAAACAATAATTTAATGATATTACCACATACAACTGATGAATATTTTCACAAATTGGAAAATATTAGTTTCTCTTTTGAAACGAGTGGGTGAAGTTTCTCCACTGGTCACTTAGAGTTGAAGTTTAGCAGTTTATTAAAATAAATCTGCTGAAAAGGCGTATTAACTTAGACCTAGGAAGCTGGTCAACAGATGACCCTAATAGGGCAAAACTGGTCCAATTTATAACGTTCACCAATTACTCAACTACATTTCTAATTCTGACAAATTACCCCGATAACGGTTCGAACAATTGCTTCCCAGCAAGACTTTCTGGGAAAATTCCAACAATAAATAAAAATGAGACTTCTCACGCCCTCTATCGACAACGGGAGTTACCCTCTCGTGATCCGGACGTGATAGCTAATTGAAGATCACGACTGAGATCCAATCTGGGACGAAATTCTATTCTCAGTCAACAGTCGACAAAAATGGAGACGAAAGTAAACAATCGAAAAAGCGATGGAATCGGACTACAACTGGACAATCATCAGCTAACAGATGGGTAACGTATCAAAATGGTCTTTAACTAGAATGGGAAACTATTTCCTGAAGATTTGTCTTTCAGCCCAAACGAACCTACATTATAACTTTTCGTTTTTGTTTCAGACGGTTCAGTCTCGAGATTGAGAGAGAGCGAGCCCAAGTGACATTTGTCGGCTGACGGCTAGCAGATTCGGAAACTAGCTGACCGAAAGACCATACCTTTATCGATAATTTCATTCATTCAACCTCAAATCACCGTGCTTGTGACCTTCATCCAGTGCAGTGGAATATTGCCGTGATAGAACAATGGAGGATATCGTGTTATTAACAATTTGAATTATAGCATCTGAAATGTATATTTATTGTGAACAAAAAATATTTTGATAGAGTTGATAATATTCTTCATTTTATATGATGAATAATTTAAGTGGGGATTTATCCCGTTACAGCATCTTCCACAGGATCCATTCGATCTATTCTTCCCAAAACATGTGCCAATTTTGTTTGCAATTTCACCACTTCGCTAGAAGTTCTTAGTCCACTCAATGTACCTAGTAGAAGTCCAATCTCATAGAACTTTCCTTTGACTGCCAGTTCATCTTCTCGCGCGTCACAATTGGTGGGCTGTCACGATGACAGTCGCGGCATACCGGTTCACTACACAGGAGAAGGAGTGAGTTCGTGGAAGTTATATTTTTGGGCGCCAGGTAAATTGAAATGCCAAAGTCCCCATAATTACGCTCTAATCATTTCCTCAACTTACCAAAAGAAATGAAATGAAACTGGCAAGCCACAATCCCAATAAATCTCATATTGATTATCGATACCAACAATTATTCAAACAATATAAGAGAATAACAAGTTGCAAGAAATGGTTGTAAAAGCTAATGAAAAGAATATGGCCGAAAATCTCAATCTTATTGTCCAAGATATGCATGAAAGACAATCAAGGACATCTAATATTATTGTATGTAATATCCAATAATCGAATCTGAATACTCAGCGTGACAGGGCCAAAGAAGATATAAAAAATATCAATGAAATTCTTGGTGACCTTTCTAATGAAGTAACCATCAGAAAGACTTTCAGACTTGGTAAATTTTCCGAAGACAGAAACAGACCTATCAAAGTAGTTCTGTTGAACAGTGATGAAGCCCTTTATGTTTTATGGAACAAGAACAAAATTATAGTTCCTGGAATAATTGTATTTGGTGACCAAACAAAATTACAAAAAGAATACTATCTCTCAGTCGAGTCTAAGCTTGCGGATCTCACTTCTCAGGGAGTAAACAACAAGAAGATCCGTTATATCAACAATATACCAACAATTGTGGATGTTTCTCCTGAGCAGAAGCGAAAAAACTGAATCAATATCCTAATATACCCTTTAATACTGATATCATTTATACAAATATACAAAGCCTAGTAGCAAATCATGACCAACTCGTGCATGACATCATTTGTTACCAGCCTTCAGTAGTTTTACTCAGTGAAGCCCGAACAACAACCGACATTGAAGACTTTGAACTTGATATTGACGGCTACAGGATTGTGAGAATTGATTCATCTAGCAGGCATAATGGTGGTGTTGTGATTTATTTACGGAAGGAATTTGATTTTAAAATATATAAAAAAGTTTGTATTGACAGGGTTTATTGGTGTTCAATAATTAGCTTTAAGATGCATGGTGAGAACATACTTTTAGGCTGTTTGTATCGTTTGTATAGTTAATGAGCCTACAAGGATGACTAACAACAGCAGCTCTTTAAAGGCTCGCGCAAACCGGAGCGGCCGCGAACGCGGTGGCGGACGCGGTGGCGATGCGTTCAAACGCTATGCGTGTAAAATAATTAAAGAGGGCAAACCTAAGCGATCTACCACACGCGCCCGCTTGTTTTGCAGCGAACTGTCCGCGTCTCGCTTGGCGTTTTGGCGGTAGAACGCTGCTTACACTATTTGCCCGCTCAATTCGCGCGATCTTCTGCAGGACAAAACATGTTGAGCACAGAGGAGCTTATCGAAAGTGTTTGTGTTAAACCAATTTTGTATGATCTCACTAATAGTGAGTATAAAAATATCAAGAAAAAAGACAAAATATGGGACGAGATTGCCGAGTCGTTTGAAGTAACTGGTAAGTACAAAATAACATATTTGTAGTAGGTAATGTATTTTTCTTGAAATATTTATTTTAATCATTAATTATTGTCATTAAAAAACGAAACAAATCTTTGACGAATTTGAAATGCAGTATTTGTTGATCTTCTGTTATCATTTCTATTTCTAATGGTTCCAGGGTACGCTTCATTTTCTTCTAATAAATTGGATGGCAAGTCACACTGTTTTATGAGCAAGTAATTGTGTAATACACGAATAGTTTTAACAATAATTATGGCTGTTTCAACTCTTACTTCAATAGGTCTGAAGAGAAGCCGCCACTTATTGGATAACATTCCAAATGCATTTTCCACGACACGGCGTGCTCGGCACAACCTTTTATTAAAGACTTCTTTTTCTCAGAATTTATTTAATTGTGACACAATTAGAAACACAAATCAATTCAAAGAACTGAGATTATAAAAAAAAAGGAAAGAAGAAAAAAAAAGGAAGGAAAAAAACACATCAAAGGTTTTGCTTCGTTCCCTCCTGTTCATAAAAGAGGACATATGCCTCATTGCTCACAATTGCTTTTGTTGAAATTGGGAACACGTGTGAATCGTTGTATTCATGCCATGTGCCACTATATGGGTGTCTGTAAGTTGACCAAAAATTTCCTTCTTCAAATTAAGAAGCACATATGATATATTATCTTCGTCTACATCCTTTGAAAAACATTTTTTTGTAGATGACTCAATACTTTCCACTGTAGTGAGAAATAAACAAAGCTGAATCAATAAAGAATCTGCTGAAGGGTGTTGAAGGGCAAACTGAAAATTTCGCCCGAAAAGATTCTGCGTAATATAAATCACTGAAGGGTTTAATTATTCAGTAATTTGTATCGATAAATTTTGTGAAAAATGAGAATTGAAACTTCCTACAAGTCCTTAAACGAATACAATAAACTGAGATAATTAACAATCTGCACCCTTATATACCTATATAACCACAGTTGGTAATAACAGACGATCCTTAATGACTTTTTCACCTGAATGTTGTGGTACGCTAATTTGTTTACAAATAGAAAAAATTGATTGAAAAATAGCAAATATTCATACTTTGCCTTCTTTAGTGGTCAACGTTTCGAAAAACAATCTCTTTCTGTCAGAATCAGGAATGTTCTTTAAATTTTTTTGCCTGAAATTGTGAATAACTCTGTTTCTTTTGGTACACTTCAGCAGATTCTCTATTGTTTCACTTCTGTTTATTTTTCAGATTTATACCCCAACAAAACAGTAAGAAATGTTTTTTTTATGTTGCTGGGATGCTGGTAACTTCAACCGATTCTCTTCAAATAATAGATCCACCTTCATATAATGTCATCTGAAAAAATATTAAACCAATTATTATATTATACTATCATTTTTACTATTTTTTTCAGAACAATCATGTAGCCTCTTAGTTAATAGGTCTGAAGAGAAGCCGCCACTTATTGGATAACATTCCAAATGTATTTTCCACGACACGGCGTGCTCGGTACAACCTTTTATTAAAGACTTCTTTTCTTAGATCAGATTTTGATTGACGATGTGGAAAAGGTCGCATTAAATATTCCTTTAGTGGGAAAGCTTCATCACCAACAAGAACACAAGGTGTACACTCATCTTGAAATGGCAAAGGTTTATCTTTTGGGACATTAAAGGTTTTGTTATCAAGTCTTTGCCCCATAATAGATTGTTCGAACAATCCACCGTCGCTATTTCTGCCATATCCTCCAACATCCAAACAGATAAATTTGTAATCATAATCTACGATAGCTAGTAAAACGAAAGAAAACTTTTGCAAATAACAAAAGTAATTAGATCCAGTTTTATCCGGACATTTTATGGTAATATGCTTTCCGTCAATGCTTCCTAAACAGTTTGGAAATTGCCATTTTTCGTAGAAACCATTTATACTTTTTTCCCATATTTCTTCAGTTGGTTCAGGCATGTATAAGGGTTGCATATGGTTCCAAAGCGCAGTACAAACCTCAAAAACTATGGCGCTCACTGTTCGAAATCCCATTCTAAAACTATGGCCAATAGTTTTACATGAATCTCCAGTTGCAAGATATCCTAGAAATAAAAATTTTTTCAAAGCATTTCAATAGATTAGCAATAAAAATGTTATCAAGAAAAATGTTAATTTGTTTCAGGTGAAGAAATAAAGAAAAAATGGAAAAACCTACGCGATTCCTATAGTAAATATTTAAGAACCGAAAAAACCACCACTGGACAAGAAACGAAGATTTTGGATCGTTATAATACTTGGTTCTGGGCTCAACAAATGGAATTTTTGCGACCTTCCTTGGCATTTGCCAAATCACATTCAAACGTTATGTCAGTACGACAACCACCATCATCTGAACTTACTGAAGAAGGCCACAATCAAGTCCAATGTCAGGAAACAGCAGATAAAAATGACCCTTCGGTTGAATCACAGACACCTAGNAACAGCAGATAAAAATGAACCTTCGGTTGAATCACTTTCTGACAAATCAGCCACTAGCAAAAAGGAACAAAAAACATGAATTCAGCAAAGCACCAGCAACTCAGTTAAGCCAACGGCAAAATCAGCCAGCAAAACACCAATCATCTTCATCATCTGTAGAGCAAGTTATTTCTTATTTTGATAGGAAAACTGCAGAAAGTGCATGTGATGACATTGATGATATATTCAAAGGATATGTTAAGACTGTAAAAAAATTTTCAAAAAGAAGACAGGCTATCATTAAATTTAAAATATCACAACTACTAATGGAGCAAGAATTGGAGCATCTGGATGAGGAAGAGCGACGCAGGTCTACAAACTCGTACGTGTTTCCACAACCTGAGGCTTACTCCAATCCTGTGGTGCATATTTCTGAAAATTCTTCTACTCTGGACAGACCGGGATCATCAGAATCCAATTTTCACGACAGTGAATCTTCTGTAGATTGGTATGAAAGATTTGGAACTTCACTAACGAAATTCCCATCCAACATTTAAAACATGTGCAATACTTAATTAGGTAGATACTTATTTCGTTATTTACTTGTTCAACAAATAAAAATTATGTTTTAAAAATAATTATTTCGTTAGTTACTTACTAAGTGTTACAGCTAGTCGTTCAGCTGGTCCTATAGGTTCTCTGTAATGAGTAAACTGTTTTGTTATGTCCTCTTTTATGAGATCTAATATTTCATCGAAACATTCTACAGTCATCCTGAAATATATTAAAAAGCGCTGTTCGTCCTCTCTTAGTTCGTGATATAATGTGTGAAATTCTCCTTGAATTTCACGAGTTAAGTTAATATCGTGAATCCAAATTCTTCGTTTCTTTGTACAAAAAAATATACAGGTCAATTTTATAACTATACCTATTTAATAAGAAACAAGATTAGTTTATACTTACTTTTGAGGTTCACCATCTTCGTCAATTAACATGGCGAGAAGCAACGTTTCCTCTTCAAAATCCATATCGTTTCTTACACTTTGAACGCATTGGTGTGCGGTGGTTTTGTTCGCTTTGCGACCGCATCGCCACCGCGTCCGCCACCGCGTTCGCGGCCGCTCCGGTTTGCGCGAGCCTTTATCAAGCTTATAGCAGTGCGGTTACTTTTATAAGTAGTAATTTACAAAGAGATATCGACGGTGTTTCGAATCATCTTCCAAAATGAATGCAAATATCAATTATTCAAACGAAGTTCTTATGAAATTATTTATTATACACATGAACAAAGTGATCAAATCATTGTCAGAACGTGTAAAGAATTCAACCAAATGTATCCTGAATTAACACCAATGAACGAGAGGAAGTTTGTAAGGTTACAAAATAATTTCCATAACTATGGCTCAAAGTTTCCAGGGAACAACTCTACCAAAAATCAGTCATTTGTAGGTAAAAAGTAAGATTTTGTGGGCTAAAATATGTGAAAGTACAGACAATAACAGAATAGGATGATTCAAAATGACAAAATTGTAAACAAAATATCACATTTTCACAATAAATGCTGAAAATGTTGTCCATTACATTCTAAACACTTTAAAATGTTTTTTTGTAGGCGACTTGTGGTTGCTCTTTTAATTTCCTGGGGATCCAGATCTTCAATACTCCGCACTATTCGCCGTCGCAATTCTTCTTTGGTAGGCACTAGAGTACTGTATAACCTTTCTTTTAAAACACCCCATAAAAAAAGTCAAGTGGCGTGAGATCGGGTGATCTCGGTGGCCAATCCCACGGCCCTAAACGCCTAAACCAACGATCGTCGAAGAGTTTGTCAAGTTTCCTGGAAACTTTATGGGTGGAATGAGCTGGCGCTCCATCCAGTTGAAACCACGAATTCCTATATTCCTCTAAAGGCAAATTTTCAAGAAAATCGGTAACAGTCGTCCTTAATATTTGGAGATATCTCTCTGCATTCAGTGTGTTTTCATACATAAAAAAGCTAATTTTATTGTTCTTCAGAATACAGAAAACATTCAGGTCAAATTTTTCTTGAGAACCCATTTCTTTTGTAACATGAGGATTATGATCAGCCCAAAAATGTTTATTCCTTCTATTGAAAATACCCTCCCTCGTAAATTTTGATTCGTCGCTCCAAGTTATTTTTGACAAAAATTCCCGATATTCCTGTGTATGAATCAAAAGGGATTCACAAAAATGCATTCTACGTTCGAAGTCTTCTGCTTTTAGAGCTTGAACTTTGGTAAATTTATACGGATGCATTCCGTGATTTTTCAAAATTCGTTGTACTGAAGCATGTGATACACCTGAACCTTTTTCTGCACTGCGAATGAAAGCTTCTGGATATGCATAAAATATGTCAAAACGTTAACAGTATTGTCCTCATTTGAAGTAACAGTTTTTGGTAATGTTGAAGGCGCTTTTAACATGGAGCCATAGTTAAGAAAATTATTTTGTAATCTTAGAAACTTCCTCTCGTTCATTGGTGTTAATTCAGGATACATTTGGTTGAATTTTCTACCATGATTTGATCACACTGTCCGTGTATAATAAATAATTTCATAAGAACTTCGTTAGAATAATCAATATTTGCATTCATTTTGGGCGATTTTTTGAAACACCGTCAAAGTCACCAAACTGTCATAAGCTTGATATTTCCACGGCTACCTAGAAATCAAATTCTTTAAAAATTATTTTTTGTACAACTGTTATTGAAAATCTCTTTGATAGAAACACTTCAATCAGAACACCTACCAAAAAATCATTTGGAAAAGTTCACACATGCAGTTCGTGCTTTTGGTAATATTAAATTCCTGTGAAGTTACTGACGATGACGAAGTAGTATTCAGTCCAACTGTAGAAAGTCCTTCATGACTAACCAATAATCCTCCTTAAACTAACGTGAGTTGGCGTATGTAGTTGTAACATATGCCTTGTAATCCAAAGATCGTGTGTTCAAATCCCATGGACCCTATAATTTTTTTTATTATCAGCAGTAACGTTATACAAAAAAATGTGTATGATACATTTGTTAAAAGTGATTTCATTTTGCTCGTGAGTTTGCTCCACTTGCTGACGCTCGTTTTGCAATAATCCCCACTCACAAAATAAAATGCCACTTTCAACATTTGTAGGTAAAACGTGAATAACTATTTTTCTACAAAAACGGCTTTATTAAGAAAACTTGACGATTTAGGTTTTTGGGACATGTATTTCATCTTGAAGCATTTTTCACTATCTTTCAATTTATCGAGTAATATACAGGGGGTTTCATTTGAAAAATATATAATAGTAATTTTAGCACCCCCTATATAATATGGAGTCGATTTCTTGGTGTTATTTGAATATTTCGAGTTTGTCCAAACTATCATCAAAATATCAACTTTCCATGAATTGAGAGTACTGATGTACTTAATTTTAATTAAGGCTATGTTTTGGACCATATTTAGCACAATTTATTTTTTATCTCGAAAACAGATAGAGATAGGTATAGGACATTATCAACAAAAAAGTATTAAAATAGCAGAGCGATTCCAAAAATGTATTAATATATGGGGTGTTCCATTTAAAAAAATAAAGTTGCTAGGACTCTTTGATGTAAGTAGCAACGCCGCAATGCTGAAAATATTTTAGATCGATAGAACAGGTAAGGAAATATGAGAGGTGAAATTTTCAGAAAAATCATGCTTTGCGTTTTCCAGAAACGTCTAACCTACCTTCAACCGTGAGTCATTCTGTATATTTTATATTATCTTGCTTTTTGTTTTGTCCTTATTCTTCAGTTTCCTTTTCAACACTCATACATCTATTGGTATCATCGTATTATGGTCTCAAAATATTATTCATTTCATATATTTTGAGTATTTTTTGTTCAATATTGATATCTTCCACTCCACTGGCGCCGACTTCATAAGAGGTTGTGGGGCCTGGGCCCCACCACCATTTATGATGCTATGATGTGTATTTTCACTGCTGTAAAATTTCTTTGCCATCAAGGCATTGCTATTCGAGGCCATGAGGATATACATTTAAATTTCTGTCAATTATTAAATTTGTGGAAGGAGGATAAGCCAGAGCTGGCAGGACGTTCAGGATATAAATGGACGTTTCATGAAATATAGAATGAGATTATACGCATACTAGGTCGATCTGTCTTGCGCTCTGTAATTCAAGGAATAAGTTGTGATTACTTTGGTATAATGGTAGATGAGACAAGTGATATAACCGTCCAAGAACAAATCACTTGTTGCATTCACACATTAAATGACAATTTTGACATTTGCGAGGACTTTCTAGATTTTTAGGCAGCTCCAAATACTGAAGCTAAAACTCTGTTCAACATAGTGAAAGACTTTCTAGCTCGGTTTGATTTTACTTCAAAAAATCTTAGAAGACAATGCTATGACGGTGCAACCCAGATGCAGGAAAGATTCAAGGGTTTGCAAACTCTCATAAAAGATATTCAGCCCCAAGCCTTTCGCGTACACTACGCAGCCCACAGCTTGGAAGCTGTGGAAGATAGTTCAAGACAACTTTCCGGTATGAGAAATACCTATAATGAACCTACCCAAAGACCTAATAAATACTATTAGAGAATCTCCAAAGAAAATGGGAATGTTTGAAACTATAATATGATAATGACACAATTGGCCCTACACACTGCACTGGACTTCGCCTACATTGCTCCACAAGATGGACAATGCAGGCATCAAGCCTTAACCAAATTCTACAAAAATACTCAAATCTTATTGATTTTTTTTTTATTTATTCTCGTATGCTGCAGCTAAATGCTCAGAATTCCTACAGGAAATGACAGACTTTAATACATTTTGATTTTTGTTCCTTCACAGTCTCGTTATGAGTTCTGTGGAGAAAATAAACTTACAAATACAAAGTCAACATATCGGAGCTGCAGAAGTCAAAGTTGAGCTAGGATTCCTAACTGATATTCTTGAAGAAAAGCATGGTAAGTTTAAAGAGTTTTGGGAAACATGAGTTGAGGAGAAACCCAGCTTTGTTGGTGAACCAATTTTGCCAAGACATCGTTGAATTCGAAAGGAATTAGACAATCCTGGAGGTTCTGAAGCTTACAAATTCCCAAGTCCTAAAGAGTAATTTAAACAAGTGTATACTAGAAGTGTGTGACACTGTACTTATGTGTGTAAGGAAAATATTACAGTTATCTGGATTAAATTTAGTTTCCGCTGTTGAAAAAGAATGCGTTTTTGCCATGATAACCGGTTCTAATAAATGCCAGAAAATTCAGGAAATCTTCTGTGGTGATCTGGATCAAGCCTGACTTCCCCTCTACCTTACGATGCTAAACTACATTGCAAAACAAAAAAAATATTTATCTTTCTGAAATGCGTGATGTGGGGAAGTTGATTTAAGAAGAAAAAAGTTCAAAAGATCTTCTACCTGAGGTTACCAGATGCCTTTAACTCTTGGGAACCTTGCCTGCAATCGGCAGATATGTCTTTCCGCAGTATTCGATGACTCAAGACCTACTTACGTTCACCTATGGAGCAGAAGAGACTCAACTACATCGCAATTCTGAACTGTCATCAAGAAGTATTTGATAGTTTGGACATGAGGAAAGCAAGTATTGCTTTATTTTAGCAACAATTCATGGCACTGCTTTTGGTTGACCATGTATTTTGTCATATTTCAGAAATGTTTATTAGGTTTACTAAGTTCATATCTAAACTTAATTTTTAATTTTAGTTGAGTTTATTTGACTTAAGTATATCTAGTTTTCAGTGCAATATGCAAATACAATAACTTTTGATTGAATACTTGATGAAATAATTGACATTCAGGAAATGTTTTTCAATCAATTACGCAACAAATTATTATTCATTCATCTACGAACTAAATTTACTAAATAAGAAAACATGTCATTAAGTTTTTTATTCACATGTTTAGTAGGCTTGATAATTTTAAATTTATTTCCAAGTTACATCCTACTACTTTGTTAACTACTGTATAATTTTTTATAAAATATAGTCTTAAGCTACTTGTTTATTTCTGTTGTACCTAATTCCATACCAAATAGGCCCCACCAAAGTTTTTTACAAGTCGGCGAGGTTTATTGTCAATCTTGTTTGAACTCGATCACTATTTCTTTCTTTCAATAAAATTTTCTAAAAAAACAATTCGTTCAGGCCAGTCTTTTTTTATTTACACAGTAGGATTCTTCACAGAAGAAATTTCAGCATATCGCCTTAAAAATGCTGGAGTCGATTATAAATTATTGAGACAGGCACACTTGCAGACCGGTATCGGGCTATTCGGCCTCTCGTAAATGCAAGATAGTGTCCTACATCAACACGAAATCGATGATTTTCCATAATTGAAAATCAAAATTCTTTCAGAGTATCACACCTCGAACAAATTTGAAGCCCATATAGGTGGAATTTCTTTTAATAAACATCACCATTTGTGAGGCTCTACAACTCAAATTTCAGTTCTTCATTTCATGATTCCTCTTCCTTTCATTTTTTTCAGTAAAGTTATAATTTCTCCAATTTCATCATATTTGGACTTGAGGGTTAGTGATTTGTAGTTGAGCTACTTCTAATTTGAAAGTGTTTTGATTAAAAAAATTTATATTCCAAAAGTTATTCTAAGATTTTCAGTAAAACTTCCGTTTTTTGGTTAACTTTGTGATCAATTCGGAAATGTAGGCTTTCACGGCTGACGTCAATGTTTTGATTGGCTCTGTTCCAAGCGAACGACTACGACAGAAAAGGTATAATCCTCGCTACGCATCCAAGAGAGAAGAGAAACACCAGTAAAGATCAACCCCAAGGCACTCTCTATCTGCCATACATAGAAGGTATCACCAACCAAATCGGGAATATTCTAAAGAAGGAGAAAATTAACATCGTCTTCAAACCAACGACGAAAATATCGAAGTACCTGAGATCAGTAAAAGACAGCAGAGACCCACACATTGAGCGGGAGTTTACAGGATTTCATGTAACTGTGGTCGGTCAGAAGAAAAGAAGCATTGATACCCGCCTAGTCGAGCACAAGCGAAGTTGACGATTGGGACAGACCGAGAAGTCTACAGTCGCTGAACATGCAGTATCCGACGGGGAACACAAGATCCTGTTCAAAAATACCGAGAGGCTGGCAACGTCGAATCATTATTCAATAAGAATGTATTTAGGAGACATAGAAGTACACAAACTCCAAGATAACTTCAACAGAGAGGCATAAAGAACATATCTATCAGAAATCTGGCGCACAACATTGAAAAGCGACAAAACGAAGCCAAGTCATCCAAATTGCGCGGAAAGTATGCGCGAACCCGGGAAAGTGCACGGAAATTCAGCACCATAAATGAGACGGCAGAAATGAGAGCTTCACTTTTAGTTGACATGTCGAGTACTTCGATTACGCCATTGAAGATGACTGCCGCAGTTGCAGTTGAAACGTTTGGAGTTTATGACCAAAAAAGACCACCGCAAAACCCGGAAGCCAATCAAAACTCAATCTTATAATGATTGTGAAAATACTGAAACATCGTGTTCTATCTGAACCCGCTCAAAATAATGGAACTCAATTATTGTAAAAATATACTTAGTTGAACATCTTTTTCTAATACTATCAGTTTTGACAATTTTTCCTAAGATTATCATAAATTAGTTCAATTAGCTTTTTCATTTGCTTCATTCAATTAGTAATTCCAGTTAAAAATATTATGGCCCGCAAGATATATTATCATTATAAATATCGTTCATCTCATCTTCATAGCTTATATGAATTAAAGATTCATCAAGAAGGCTCCGTGTTTTCAGACATTCAGACTGAACGCAGAACTAACTTTGCAAAAGATAGAAGATCACTTTACTGCCATTTCTACCGAAAGCATGCTCAAGTCTACAACAACCAAAATTAGTCTACCACATTACCGCAATGACCAAAATATGAACAAGAAAAATAGATCGAAAAACAACATAGAAGAAAGGCTGTCGATGTACTCTGCAACTTCTTCCTTTCGAAAAGATCCTACGTGGAAAAAGGCTGTTGAAGCTCTGGCTAAGAAAAAGTAAGATATATCCATTGAATTTTTTTATGAGACCAAAATATAATTTAGGAACTCTTCTCCAACGTCAGAACTACGGCATTTTCTATAGACGTTCGTTTCGCTAACCAAGTATTGACGTGAAGTTACCCACAGATTTCTGGCCACACATGCTGACGTAGAGGAACATAAAAATCTGTGGTTGGGATACGAAATTATTAGCACCCGTACTAATATCTGTGGCTGGAAATAACTATTCACTATAAGTTGAACGTGAAATTATTAGGACTATTTGGTGTAAAACTTTTTTATAGAATCTTGAGTAGATTGACGCGTTGATAATCGTTTTCTCATCAACAATACAAATTTAGGGAAAAATAAAATTGGAAATATTAGACTTACTTTAAGAAAACGGTTTTCACTATATCAATCTACCCAAGATTCTATAACAGTTGTGTAATTTTCATGAACGCACATCTTCTGGTTCCAATTCTACAAGGTGTTTTAAAATGTGAGTCTGATTTTTGCAACAATTTTTCTCTCGAAATCTGTATGGGTATCAAGAAAACAGTTTTCACTTTATCGATCTACCCAAGATTCTATAAGAGTTGTGTGATTTTCATGAATACAAGGAATCTCAAAAATGAGTCTGATTGTTTCAACAATTTCTTTTTCGAAATCTGTTTAGATGACAAGAAAACTGTCATCACCAAGTTAATATTCTCAAGAAACTATAGAAGTTGTGTGATTTTGATGGACGCACATCATCTGAAATCATTTCTATATGGGTTATTGGAAGTAAGTCTAATATTTACAATTTTATCTTTCCCTAAATCTGTATTGTTGATGAGAAAACGATTATCGACGCGTCAATCTAGTCAAGATTCTATAAAAAAGTCAAATAGTCAACCTAGTGAATAGGCATTTCCAGACACAGATATTAGTACGGGTGCTAATAATTTCGTATCCCAACCACAGATTTTTATTTTCCTCTACGTCAGCATGTGTGGCCAGAAATCTGTGGATAACTTCACGCCAATTAACCAAGTAAGTATCACCAGGAGATGACTAGAATATCTGGAGATTGCTCCTCTCCCGGTGTTGCCAACTTGGTTGAAGTTATGCGAGTCGAGGAGAAATAGTTCCATTATTGTAGAAATATTTTCAGTAAATTTTGAAACTGGAATATATTGAATAACTTCAATGAATATGTAAGAAATGTTATATCAAAATATCAAGCAGAATATTCATATATTCATATACTGTATATTTATAGTATAATAGTTTCAATTAGTTACTTTCAAATCTTAGGTATACTTCCTGAATAAATATATTAGATCATCTTTACTTTGCAGACTCAGTGTTAAGTCTCGTTATAAAACGGCTCTCTACAAGCACAGACCACCGCTAGAAAAGCCGGGAACACAAATTATCGCGGTACAGAGCAAATGTCGACTATATGCAAAGAAGTCTTCCATGATATTCAAGAGAACTCCTGTCACAACTCCAGTTAATGAAGATGATATAGAAACAATGGTAGAGGTGGAGAAAAATAAACAAGAAAATGTCGAAAAATCAGATGAAAATAAAACCGAGGTAAACCCTTTTTATATTTTTTTTTTAATTTTCAAGACTATCACCATGATCCACACATTCTTTTCGTCAATATCAATCCAATGTTGAAATCAGGGAAACAAATCTGTTTAAAAATCTGTTTTTCCGTTAATCAGCTGTCGCCCCCATAGTAACGACAACTCTCAGAAGTTGAGAAACTTGTGCGAGCTGAGGACTAACGAGGTCTTACCTTTCAACGTGTGATACTAAGAATCCAATATATTGCTTTGCTGACGATAGCACACTTGTCTCGTCATTCCATTTGGATTACAGGACATCGGCTACGGAGGCACATCTTCACCGGCAGCAGGATGTTGCATATCTTAATGGGGATCTAGAAATGATTTCGAGGTGAAAGTAACCCGGTTCAATTCAATGCCACAAAAACCCAGGCATCGGTTTTCTCCAAAAAGATGAATGTCTCCGAACCGGATATAATAACGTCAGATCAGACAATTCCGCTTTCTGCTTCGATACGTTTGTTGGAGGTTAAAATGGACACCAATATGTCTTGGCACAGTCATGTCGCTGGAATTGCAAAGACTGCTTCTCAAAAGCTTGGAACACTGTTCCGAATCATTAAACTATACTTACCTCAGCAACTTTTGATGTTTTATGAAAGCTCAGATCAGACCTTTGGAGTATTGCTCTCATGTATGGAGCTCTATTCCCAAACATACCCCGAAGTTGCTGGATTCCATCCAGAAAAGAGCTATCCGCCTGATTGGAGACGCAAACATCACGTGCAACCTTGATGGCCTGGAACATCGAAGAAAGGTTGGAGATGTGTCTCTCTATAGATACTTTAACGGGAGGTGTTCAAGTGACTTAGGACATTTGATTCCACCAAGAGCGTTACACATCAGAAATAGGCGACGAACTGTGGCTGCTCATCGTTTTGAGGTTCAACTCAGGACACCTCGAACTTCACTGCTTAAGAACTCTTTCATCTGGAGAACTGCGTTTATGTTGAATAAACTTCCTGAGAACGTTTTTCCAAATGGATTTGATCTTCAGCGATTCAAATCCAATGTGAATCTCTACTTTCGCACAGGCACCACTCTGAGAGAGCATTAAGGATTTTACTGTAGTGCTTGTGTTTTGTCCTGAAAAAAACTCATCTCTTGAAATTTACCAATAGTAAGCTTTTTCCTGTATTGAGATATTATGACTTTATAAAGAAAGCAATACTAAGCGTCAATGTAGGATTATAGAATATTTCAAGAAGTGAATGGGGTAGATCTCGTGATCTGTTGTCTTTCTTCATTATTTCGATAATTCGTGTTTCTATCGAAGTAAATACAGATAAATAATTCATATTACTATTATTGATGAATTAGTATTCAAATAATTTATTCAATTACTTTTGAATTTTCTCTTTGTTATAAACAGTTTTGTTTGTTGGGATTAATGAAGAAAATTATTAGAATTTCAATAAGCTCAAAATGAGTGAACTAAATGATATTAATAAATTGATGGATGTAGCCATTACTATCATGAAAAATTTTACCACTCTTATTTGTAACTAACGTTACTGCAGTTTCGTCCTATAAGGACATTTTCAAACTTGTACATTAAAATAAAAATGATTGATTACATTAGCCGTTATATTGATATGTAGATAGATACATAGAAGTTCATTGATCAGACACCAATTAAACATTGGACTGACAAGTCAAAATACCATTGTTACATTTTGCTTATTGCTAAAATAAAATAAAAAAATTATTAATGTCCCTAAATTTTAAAAATACGAACGAAATTGGAATATGTTAGTCCTGATAATCTATTCGACAGAAAAAACTTCACGTCATAGTTTTCCAGGCCGTCTGAGGGGGTGAAAATAAGGTGGAAAGTTGAAAAAATCGTATCTTCGAAAATTGAATGTGTACACCTACAAGTTTGAGATATGTTATCCATGTTGATCTATTCGACAGAAAAAAAATTTACGTCATAGTTTTCTAGGCCGTCTGAGGGGGTGAACATGGGGTGCAAAAATAAAAAAATTCTTAACATAAAAAATTGACTTTGTACACCTACAAAATTGAGATATGTTATTCCTGATTATCTATTCAACTGAAAAAACTCCACGTTATAGTTTTCCAGGTCATCTGAGGGGGTGAAAATGGGGTGGAAATTTTAAAAAATCGTATATTCAAAAATTGAGTTTGTACACCTACAAGATTAAGAGATGTCATTCCTGATACCCGATTTGACGAGAAAAACTTCACGTTATAGATTTCCAGGCCGTCTGAAAGGGTGAAAATAGGGTGGAAATTTGAAAAAATCATGTATTCAAAAATTGAGTTTGTACACCTACAAGATTAAGAGATGTTCTGTATCTGTAGAGTAGGGAGGGTGAGTGTAAGCCCACAGTACTTAGGCCACATGTGACCCATTGTACATCCTCCCGAGGAGTTGTCCTCCTAGGTCATCGTCCATCCTGTCCTTTCCAGGAAGGTGGACTGGTCACTGGGAGACATCTCCTTTATATCGGCAGTTGTAGGCCAAGATTTGCCGAACACACACTCTCTTTTTGACGATATCTCCGAGCACACACACAGGACATGCCTGATAGTATCATCTTCCTGTTCACACATCCTGCATAGAGGTGTGTCCACAGTCAGAAATCCTACTGTAAGGCGTAGATTTTTCCTGTGGCCAGTCAGAAATCTTACTGTAAGGCGTAGATTTTTCCTGGTCATCGCCAGATATTTCTTCGGCCCCAGCTTCCCAGGGTCGCCCAAGGTGATCCTGGCAAGATTACATCCTTTGGTTTCGTCCAATTGCTTTAAGGATTGAGTATGTGTGTAACATTTGACTAGTTCCGCAATTGTCGAAGTCATCAGGCCGTGGGTGCCACTGAGTCCTAAAATTCTTATTCCAGCCGTTTCCTTGGCTAAAGAGTTATGAATGCAATTACCTTTACTCCTGTCGTGCCCTTTAACTCACCTCAGGATAATGTTATTATCTACCGAGGCTTTGGCTAAATCTTGGTGGCACTCTAGTACTAGCCCTGAGGTAACACGCTGTCTGTTCAAGGTTAATAGTGCTTGTCTGCTATCAGTGCAGATTGTTATGTTTTTGCCAGAAATTTTTTTCTTGGTTATTTCTTTCGTGGCGATTGAGATACCAGCCAATTCTGTTTGGACCACGCTGGTATTTCTTCCCATTCCCCACTTAATCCTTAGGCTTAGTGATCTAGAGTACACTCCACATCCTGAGCCTTCTTTGGTTTTTGAGCCGTCTGTATAAATCCGTATTGCATTTGTATCATCTAACTCTGTGCTCTGCTTAATTCGTATTTTGTAGGGTTTATTAAACACAAACCTGGGTTCAATTGCATCACTTGTTGCCTGCAGTAGAGGTTGCACATCCTACTGTTAGGCGTAGATTTTTCCTGGTCATTGCCAGATATTTCTTCGGCGCCAGCTTCTCAGGGTCGCCCAAGGTGATCCTGGCAAGATTACATCCTTTGGTTTCGTCCCATCTCTTTAAGGATTGAGCATGGGTGTAACATTTGACTAGTTCCGCAATTGTCGAAGTCATCAGGCCGTAGGTGCCACTGGGTCCTAAAACTCTTAGTCCGGCCGCTTCCTTGGCTAAAAAGTCGGCAATGCGATTACCTTTACTCCTGTCGTGCCCTTAAACCCACCTCAGGATAACGTTATTATCTACCGAGGCTTTGGCTAAATCTTGGTGACACTCTAGTACTAGCCCTGAGGTTATACGTTGAATGTTCAAGGCTAATAGGGCTTGTCTGCTGACAGTACAGATTGTTAGGTTTTTGCCAGTAATTCCTTTTTTGGTTATTTCTTTTGTGGCGATTGAGATACCAGCCAGTTCTGTTTGGACCACGCTGGTATTTCTTCCCATTCCCCACATAATTTTTAGGCTTAGTGATCTGAAGTGCACTCCACAGCCTGATCCTTCTTTGGTTTTTGAACCGTCTGTATAAATCCGTATTGCATTTGTATCATCTGACTCTATGATCTGCTTGATTTTTATTTTGTTGGGTTTATTAAACACAAACCTGGATTCAATCGCATCGCTTGTTGCCTGCAGCAGAGGTTGCGCAGTAAGCGCTTCCCGCCACAGGCCCAGCCTCAATTGACCCATTCCTACTTCGAAGTTTACACCAGCCGTGCGCAATCGTACCATGACCATTTACGCAACCTCCTTAACGTACAGATCAAGAGGGGTCAGACTCGTGATTAATTCCATTGCCGCGGTTGGTGTTGTTCTCATTGCTTCTGTGGTGATTAAACAAGCCAGTCGCTGTATTTGGTATAATTTTTGGATGGCCGTTGCTTGTAGAACTTTTCGTCCCCATGCAATGGCTCCATACGTTATAGGTCTTATTATTGCAGTGTAGATCCAGGTGACCACACGGGGTGAAAGATCCCATGCGTGTCCCACTGTCCTCCGACATTGCTCATAGAGATAGATAGATAGATAGATAAATTTATTAATCTTTTAGATGTATAATAGTAATACAAATAAGATAAGTCAAATGCACAAAGTGGAATAAAAAATATAAAGTTATCAATATAAAACGCCTAGTTACAGTTTAGGAGTTAGCAAACATTGCATC